GTAAATTTTTCTTGGGGAATTTTGAAAAATGTGAAAAAAATTCAAACCTTTCTGTGAAAAATGCTCGGTATTTTTCACCCACCTCTAGTTTCGGGTGAGGTTGTGGCTGGTGGAAACAAGGAGGGCTGTGGTTCTGGCTTTAGATGAGATTTGGCAAATTCATGGGGCTCAGGCTGGGGTTCAGGCTGCCGGCTCCCCCGCTGATGGGGGCAGGGCTCGGGCTGCCAGCCCCTACTGCCCGGCCCCGCTCTCCCTGGGGCTCAGGCTGCCAGCCCCACGCGGAGCACTGTGGTTTGAGCTGCCGGCTCCCCTGCTGACCTGGGCAGGGCTCGGGCTGCTCGCTGCAACGGCCCGCCCCCGCTCTCCCTGGGGCTTGGGCTACCAGCCCCGTGTGGAGCGCTGGGGTTTGGGCTGCCGGCTCCCCCGCTGACGGGGGCAGGGCTCAGGCTGCCAGCCCCATGTGGAGCGCTGTGGTTTGAGCTGCTGGCTCCCCCCTGACCTGGGCAGGGCTCGGGCTGCTGGCGGCAACTGACTGGCCCCGCTCTCCCTAGGGCTCAGGGTGTCTGCCCTGCAACCGGGTCCCACCTGCTGTCTCCAATACCCGGGGTCCTCTGTCCGCCATTAGTGAAATTTTTCTGGCGAACCCCCTGTAACGTTCTGCGAACCCCCAGGGGTTCGCGAACCCCAGTTTGGGAACCACTGCTCTAACCCTCATCCCTAATCTCCTGTAAAAGCAGAAGAGCCCAAAAGGTGTTATCAGTGTAATTCCACTGATCACCTGAGGAATAAATGCTCTGTGCTAGGAGGAGGCAGGCAACCAATAGCTCATGTTAGGTCTGCTGTCCTCAACACAGAAACCCCCCAAGCAATTGAAATCTATCATATTGGTTTTGTGAGGTTAGCCTCTGCAGAACCAGATATGGAGCATGTTAAGGCTGTCCAAACGAATAGCAGGGAGTACTTGGGGCAGAAGAATACTGGAGCCCAGATCTCTCTGTATTAAGCAGAGTGTGGTCCAATATGTTAAGCAGAGTATAGCCAGTATGTTACCTGGCCAAATGGCAGAGATTGTGGGTGTGGGCGAAAACAGATTCCTCATACCACTAGCTAAAATCCATGTGATCTGGGAAGGTTTGCAGTGTTTTGACTGTTGGGCTAATAGAACACTTCCAGGTGACAAATTACTCACCAAGATCTTAAAAATCTGTCTTTAGGGAGAGAGGGATACCTCAGTGGTTTGAGCATTGGCCTGCTAAACCCAGGGTTGTGAGTTCAATTCTTCAGGGGGCCACTTAGGGATGTGGGGCAAAAATCTGTCTGGGGATTGGCCCTGCTTTGAGCAGGGGGTTGGACTAGATGACCTCCTGAGGTCCCTTCTGACCCTGATAGTCTAGCTGACCTGCTCCTTAGTAATGACTTTTTCCATGTAACTCAGATTAAAGTATTTGCCTGCAGCAAGAGGGAGTTTTATTTCCCCAAGGGAAAGGGTGAGGTCTCAGGAATGGCTGAGAGAATGAGAGAGAGTCTCCTTGATTCTTCTGCAGTGGGGGAAGCCACATGCTTCCAGGTGGGAGGTTGGTTGAGACCAACTCCTACACTACAGCTGGAGGCAACACCACATCAGGAAGGGATGTGGGGGTGTAATGCCTGCCAGGGAGAGAACTGTCCAGGTTGTTAGCTGCCAGCAGGTTGAAGCTGAACCAGAGACAAACCTGGCTCTAGGGAGCATAGAGAACTGTGTCCCAGAGGAGAGCCCAGAGAAGGGGCAGGGAATCTCAGAAACCACTGAGGTGGGTGAGGATTCCTATGACTCTGTAACACAGGGAAGCAGTGTGCTTCCAAGTATGGGAGGGGCTGAGACTAGTTTCCAGCAGCAGGCAACATGCACTCAGGTGCAGGGGCAGGAGCAGTGTTGTCAGTGATTAATGAAACTGTCTCAGTTGTTAGCTGACAGAGTTTTGCAGATGAACAAGGGATAGAACCCTTCCTAGGGAGCACAGAGATATGTGTCTTATGAGGGGGCCCAGAGGAGGAAACTGGGGAAGGAATAGTAGGGGTACAGGAATGTCTCCTCACTAGTCACTTGGAGCAGGATGCCCAGGACACAAGGAGGATGGCTGTGTCAGCATCTGTGCACCCAGGCACTCAGCCTGTGACCCAGGTTTTGAGAAGGAACTGTGTAACTGACCTCCTGGAGGGGAGCAGTCACACAGCTGACTTCTCAGGGACAAAGCGGTGGCAGAGGGTACACCAATCCAGGTCCCAATTTTTCAGGATGCTATTTCTGATACGTTTTTGGAAAGTAACCGTGTCTCTTTAAATCAAGATACAGCTCCAATACCTGTGATAACAGAGGAGTTGGGACCAGGAAATTGCCAGGTGGTAGATTGCCAGAATACAAATGACCCAACTGAGAGAGAAGGGGGTGTTTTCCCCCACGCTGGTGGGACACAGAGAACAGTTATGGGAAAGCTGCTGGGAAAAGGTGGATCTGATCAAAGGGTAAACACACCTAGCCCACAGAGCACAGATCACAGCCCTCTAGGGGACAGGGAAGGACTCAGTGCTGGGAGGGGGAAACACAGGGTAAACCCAAAAGGGAAGCTGGATTTTCTGCATATGTACAGTCCTGGGGTGGGAGACCGCTCGCCAAAGGGCCAGCTAATGTGCAGAATTCCTCTGAACACCTATCTTGCCTGAGGCACCAAAATTCCAGAAACATGATTAAATTAAGAACCCACACAGAGGGGAACACTGGAAGGAAAGAAAAGCCAATGACTGATTACATGGAAGAGAGTGAAAGGACACCATGGATAATGAACAAACTAGCCTCAGACTATAATATCTGAACAGAGGGTGTGGTATCATAAAGATACTTATAAATGCACATCTGAGATAAAAAATTTGGTATTAATGTTAAGTTTTGGGGATAAGAATTTTGACATGGATGTTAAACCTTATGATAATGCTACTTTTCAATTAATTCCTGTAAACAAGTTTAAAGCTTATCACAGCAGAGAAAGCATAAAAAACCTGGTTTCCTGTGTGTGAATGGGGAAACTGAGGCACACTGCCTCATGGCCTTAATGGCTGGATACCAAGAGAACTATAACACAAGCTGCCTTCAAGATAGTCAGTGACTTACCCTCTTGCAGTAAATTAAGGGGGGAGGTGTTACCCCCCCTTGTATTCCCTGTACCTCGGGAGAATACCCTGCACTCCTATGTTCGTCCTTATAATATGACTGTGTGGTATCCAATGCAAAGTTTGTCATGTCGGGTATCTTCGGAAGGCTCATGATGAACTGAGCATGGTTGTTATAGTAATGTTATAAGTTGTAATTTCATGTATATAGTTATGAGGCTGAAAATGTGTCCCCATGGCTTAAAACAAGCTCAGGCAAAAACTCTCCAAGAGCAGAGGGGCAGTTCACACCTCATCAGGGCATGTATGGGACAACCCAGCCCAGCCTCACAGGAACAAAGGACACTTGCCTAGGCAGCAACAAAAGAATCTGTTAGACTCTCGAGGGAGTCACCCTGCTTCCTTTGGTCAGTTTGGGATTACGGTGAGGTAATGCTCACCGGACTCTGAAGGAGGGGTAAAGCCAAGAGGGAAGAAAGAACATGGTAAAAGGGAGAGACGTTTGCCATGCTCTTCCTCTCTCTTCCACCTCCATCTACAGACATCACCACCAAGCGACTGAAGCGCAGATCAAAGGGGAGAGTCTGGCTGAAGGGCAACCAGCCAGCCTGTGTGAGAAGCATGAAAGTGTTAAGATCAGCTTAGAATGTGTTTTGATTTTATTTCAGTTGACCAAATCTGACTTCTTGTACTTTGACTTATAATCACTTAAAATCTATCTTTGTAGTTAATAAATTTGTTTGTTTATTCTACCTGAAGCAGTGTGTTTGATTTGGAATGTGTCTGAGACTCCCCTTAGGATAACAAACCTGGTACATATCAATGTCTTTGTTAAATTGAACAACTCATATAAGCTTGCAATATCCAGTGGGCATAACTGGACATTGCAAGACGGAGGTTCCTAGGGTTGTGTCTGGGACTGGAGACATTGGCTAGTGTCATTCGGTTGCACAATCCAAGCAGCGGCTGGCCAAAAGTGCCCACTCACGTAGCTGGGAGCAGCTTACATGCCAGAGGCGGTTCATGAACATCCCGGGAGTGGGGGTTCTCACAGCAGAGCAGGGTAAGGCTGGCTCCCAGAGTCCAGGATTGGAGTGACCTAGCAGATCATCAGTCCAGATAACACCAGAGGAAAGTCACAATAGTTAATATATGCTTTTATTTTTTCATGAAATGTAAAAGTTAAAGATTCTCTGTAAAAACACAAATTCCACGTTTTTCTGTGGCAAATGGATTTCTAGAATCCCTGGTAATAACAGAACTTGTTGGAACTAAGTGTTACTGGCACATATAACATGGGGCGAGGGAGGGAAATTACTTTTGTACCTAAATGCAGACGTGACAATAGCAGAATACGAAGGACAAGAGAAGCAGAACATGTCATTCCCATTATCCAGCCATAAGTTTAAATGTGACAGAAAATGGGTTTAAAGACTTTTAAGATCATAGAAATATTTGTCAAAAAAGAAAAACAAGGTTTTTAACAATGAGAACATAGTACCATAGCATTATCAGTGATGACAGTAACTATCTCATTATTTCAAAGCAAATTGTAACATAGTACAGCAGTGCAGCCCATCTGCTTGGTGCCAAGGACATGTAAAGTCATATGGTCATGCAACAAATTGATGACAGAAAAGGATTGCTCTGTCCCTAAATGGCTAACTTAATTAACTATGCTGTAGGTTCTCTATATTCTGAGATGCACCTTGGAAGAAAGTCATACCAAAGGAAGATTCAAATGTTCAGTGCTTTTATTTCACAAATGCATGAATATTTCAGCAAACACGTAGTATCACCACTAAGGCTATGTTTTAGTCATGGGTATTTTTAGTAAAAGTCATGGACAGGTTACGGGCAGTAAACAAAAATTAATTGCCTGTGACCTGTCCATGATTTGTACTATATACCCCTGACAAATCTCGGGGAGGTAGGGTTGCCTGGGGGTGCTGGGGTTGGGGGCTGCTGGTGCTGGGAGGAAGGGTGGGTAGCAGCGCACAGCTCGGGACCTCCGCCGGTACCAGCAGAGGCAGTTGGCGGGGCTGTCTGGCTCCCTAATTGGCTCCGTGCCTCCCCGAAAGCGGCGACATCCCCCTTCACTCAGCTCCTAGGCGGAGGCATAGCCAGGCAGCTCTGCGCACTGCCACCACCCCGACTGCCGGCTCTGCAGCTCCCATTGGCCAGGAATGGTGGCCAATGGGAGCTGTGGGGGCGGTGGCTGCAGGCAGAGGCAACATGCAGAGTTGCCTGGCCACGCCTCCACCTAGGAGCTGAGGGATGTCGCTACTTCCAGGGAGCCTCCCCCCCCAAGGAAAGCACTGCCCAGAGCTCTCACCCCCTCCCGTGCCCCAACACCCAGCCGTGAGCCCCCTCCCATACCCAAACTCCTCCTGCTGTTGGGGGGTTGCAGTGACCAGAGACTGCCCCAGTAGCGGTCAGTGTGACTGGCCCGGGGGCCGTCCGAGCTGCTCAGGCAGGCCCCGGGCCAGCCACACTGGCCGCTGCAGAAGTCATGGAGGTCCCAGAAAATCATGGGCTTCCGTGACCTCTGTGACAAAGTCTCAGCCTTAATCATCACTAATATTTTTTCCACACAGCAGTGAGGCCCAAAGAGCAAATAAAACTATGGCATATTAGTGTTACTGACTTATACTCTTTATCAGATGTTGAAAAAGAATTGTAAAGTGAAAAAAAAGTTCAGATATAAATATGCACCAAATCTATTCCTGGTGCAACTCCATTGATTTTAATGAAAAAAAGTCTCAAAGTATTTCAATTTGGGTACCTAAATACTCAAGACACCCAGAATTAGAGGCCACCTTTGAAAATTTGCCAACATATCTTCCTTGTTGTGCCAGTCTCTCCCATCAATATACTGTGGTAATATGTACTTCTCATGGGAATTAAGGCTTAGTTCATGGAGTCACATGAAGGAAAATTGACCCAGTAAAGCTACCTTGTCTTGCAAATATAACTAACCTTTAACTTGTAGTTAATGGATTACTAACATTTATTTATAATACAGAAAATAATATATAATTAAATAAATACAATAAAATACACCACCAAGTCTGTGCAAACATAATGGCTCAGTATAAAATAAATATTAAATTTTAATATTGACATTTATGATGACCACTAAAATATAAACCCTTTTATGCTGGCAACATGTCATAACATTTAAATATCATTCCTAAAATATTAAGATGGTTCAATAAAATAACTAATAGATATTAAAGAAATTACATATGTTAGCTGACTGTATATTATATTAATCATGTATGTTAATTTATTGTCGTACAATATGTCAATATTATAAATTACTTGTTTCGGTTGTACTGTTTAATGTTAAATACAAATAAGACCATATACATTTACATGCAATTGATATTCTTTCAGACATGATAGTATAATTCTGTGAAAATACAGGTAATGTTTATTACTCCTTAGAGCAATCACATTCTCCAGTTTAGTTCTGGGCTTTCTAAAAGAATGTGCTTTCTTCATAATGTATTGAGAGTCTACAGAAGTCAAAAGAAAATAATTACAAAAAAGTATTCACATTAATTTTTGTAATTTTTGTAATTAACAGTTTTATAAAGCATACTCTTACTCATAAAAGTAATTCCTATTTGAGTAGTCTCATTGACTTCAATGAGATTACTCACATGACTAAGGACTACTCATGAGCAAGAATTGCAGGAATGTGGTCCCTTATCTTTTGAAGCCGTGTTTTTAGTTTAACATGCCTAACCATTGAGCTCAATTCTGCTCTCAGATATCACTCTCTGAGTGCAGGAATTGGGCCAATTAACCTTCTTCTCCAGTACCATTATAACCCTAGTAAATTGTACAGCTACATAAATATCACACCATATTCTAACAACTCTTTGGAGGCAAGGCAATGGAAACTGTAAAGTAACTGACACTACCACATTATTCCCTGATCATTGGATAATTCTGCAGTCCCTAGTTAGGCAAAGCCCCCATTGAACTCCATGGGAGATACAGCTGATTAAGTACTGCCAGATCGGTTCCTTTGTAATTATTTGTCACCAATGAACATATATCAGGATTCTGTGTACCATCATTGTTAGTATCTGCAGTTGTATTATTGTGGGCTGTGATTGTATGTAACCTCTCGGGGGGAGGGAGGAGCTATGACAGGTGTGAGACCGAGAGGGGTGGTGGTGGTATTAAAGGACTATATTGAACAATGTGCCAGACAAAACAGTCTTTTGGAACACATGTTAAGTGGTTTTCCTGGGCAATAGCTAGGGAGAAGTGAATGCAAATTCCTCACTTCCTGTTATGCAAAAACCCAGTCTTTTGAAGTTATACCCTGAGGCATAAGTCATTGTCTGCTGATCAGCTGTTATATGAGGCCAAGATCAAAGGCCCAAGTTATTATAAAGGAAAGACTGAACTATTCATGGCTCTTCTGGTTCTGAACCTGGGACAGTTATGAACTTGTAACACACAGGGTAAACTCAGTTGTGAATTTTGAACATGTATATAGATTCTTTTATGTTTTTATATTTTTTCTGCAATGCTTTCACTTTAACAATAAATGTGCTTGCTTATAAAGAGCTGTATGGTAACTTATAATTTTGGACAATTATGCTGTTCATAACCTTGGAGAGAAAGCAAAGTGCAGACGTTGGCCTTTGGCCTTTTAGGTGGTCTGGCTTGCTGGGGATATCACAGTGTAGGCAGGGAACTGTGCAGCCTAGAAAAGCCTCAGTCATAAGTAAGAGAAATGTGGGTCTTTGCCTGAGGAGCTGGGAGCCTAGAAGGGGTGCTCTTAAGGGTACCATGGAGGGGGAATACAGGTGCCGTGGCTCTGACCTGTGACAGATGTATGAAATGTAAACATTTTAAAATAGTTGAGTAGAAATGACTGAGAGAAATGTTGCTAATTCATGGGATAACAGAAGTGGGGAAATTAGGAATAAAGTCAAGGCATATGTTAAACTGACAAATTATCTTAACTCACACATCCATTTTTATTACTGAAACATTGGTGTCAGAAGGGCAGAACAAAAGTAACTTCTTAACCAAGCTACATGTCTTACATTTGTCCTCTCCATGCCCTTGTGTAACACTGATGTCTCTAAAGGTAATTGCTACTCCTCTGATAGGATGCATTGTGTAATTTACTAGTTGTTTGTGCTTTAAGGACAGCAACGTGCTCGCCATAGATGAGGAAAAGTTAAAGCCACTTAATGCACAGGTGTAAAATGCTTTATGATCTTTAGGCAGCACATAGCATTGTACATGATTTAGCCTGGAACAGTGGGTCAAATCATTTTCTGGTATAACCGCATTAACTTCAGTGTAGCTGCAATAGCAGAGAAATTGGCTGGCTATTTTAAAACAAACAACATTCAATTTTTAATGACTGCATCTACTACCACCTCTTTTTTATCTGTGCCTTAAATTTTGCTTTCCTCTTGAATTATAGTTATGAGCAAAAAAAAATCATTTCAGTCAGCTCTTTCACATGGTTTCATTCTCATAAATTATACATAGGTTTTGTTTACAGATATTTTATTGGATTTAAAGACATTTCTTAGTCATTGTTAGATATGCAAAATATAGCACAGCTTTAAGAAAAAATTAAAGGAACATATCTATTTTCAAATAAAAATCCGAGTGAAGCATCACTATATATATATTTGATGAAATACAGATATAAATAATGGCTATCACTATTTGTGATTCTGTTGGTGTCGTTCTTTCCCCTGACTCAATGCTGACTGTAGCCCACCAAGTGATAGTTAAAAATACTATGGGCCTGATTCTCTATTCCCTTGAACCTGTCATTTACACCTTGATAAACTGCACATCCAACATGTCCTAGCATTTTACATCAATTTTACTCACTTTACATGGGTGTAAACTACTAGACAAGGACAAAGCAGTGGAGAATGAGGCCCTGTATTTTTGATGAGACGTGACAATTAAGTTGTAAAAAAAGACTCCACCCTAGATTTTGCAAGAATAAGTGTTAGCTTCAGTGTCCTGATCAAATCTGAAACTGGGTTATTATACTATATAGTTACTTATATTTTTTTCTTGCGGTTTCATTTGATACTTTTCACTTTTCCTGAATTAAGAACAAACAGCTGTGTTCTAACCCAAGTGACAGTTGCTTTCAGTGGGAGGATTGTGAAGTACATCATATTTAAGCATAGTTTGTAAATAATTTGGGGATTATCTAGGGAAAAAAAGTAGTATAAAAGTAGATGTTACCTTCTTGACACTAAAATCTCTTGATACCAATAGCAAACTGTTTAGTATTTTTTGTTAACAGAATTTGACCTAAATTCTACAGATTTATTTAAAGAACAGGCTCTTTAAATTTACAAAATTTCATTTATGTTCTTATGAAAGTCATCTTAGTAAATGTTGGCTAACTTCATCCAGCTTGTCTAATACCAAATTATTAAGCCAGTGCTGTTTTTGTCTTTATTTCCTTGTAATAGAGCAGGTATCATCTGAGAATACCTGGCACTGACTGGTGCAATCTTGATCTAAGACTGATATGTTAGGTTAAAAGTGGCCATTATGGCCTGCACATATGGGAGATGTCAATTGCAACTAGACTCATGGGGATCTGGTAGGTTTAACCATTCTATAGTCACATGCACCGTGTCTCACTAAAATCACAAGAATCCAACTGAAGAATTAAAATCTTATTTCTGCCATCTCAAATATTAGAGAAAGACAGTGTATATTAGGCACTTCTGGAAAACACTTTCACTAGGATGTATGCATGAAAGCATAAGATTCTGCTTTTACCCTGCTCTTTTTTGCAGTTAGCACTGGACTAAAAATATTAATATAGTTCTATGAACTACCTGTGTTAAATCCCAATCCTAAAAGGCTCAGTTGGGCAGACCCATTCACCAGCACAGAGCCCCACTGACTTCAATGGTGTATATGCATAGCCAATTGCAGGATTGGGGGCTTATATTGTATAGTGTTTGAAACAGAAATATTAGCCACAAATAATAGCCACAAAGAGAGAGTCAATTCCAGACATTAATACTGACTTGACTTTTCCAAAATGCCAGCCCAATGCACATGTGGTATTTTCTAAAATTATCCAGATAGTCTCAACTATCAGAAAAGATTTCTATAGCTTTTCCCCCTGGAATTTTAATTTTTTTACATTGCTTAAGAAGAGTACATGCTATAGCCAAATGCTTAGTATAATTCTGTCTAGCATAGCATGAGTTTACTGTTTCAAATATATTGTCACTACAGTATACATTATGGCAAATTCAGACCCCAGTGTTTGGCCTAAGTAGCTGGGCTGAGCACTGGGAACAAAAGGAATCTTTCCCACCCATGTTGTGGAAAATTACAAAACCCTTCTGTGAAGGCTACTTTCAGGCCAGTACCCCTCCACAGGACAGATGTCTGTCTCCCTTCCTTATTTCCAATCTCCCCATGCTTGTCTCTGTGCATGGAACCCAGCAACCCTAATTAGCACCTCTTCCTCTGTGAAAGATCCACTTTGGAGGTGGGGGGCTAAATTTGCCCCCGGAACTATATGTAGATGAATAGTAATACTAAAAATCCATTGCAAGTTTAACATTCTTATTATAATAGCTTACTATGTTAAAAAAATCCAAGCAATATACTTAGTCTAGTGGTTACCATATAGTATTTCTACACCTAAGGTGGATTGTGAGGTACAAAGTGAAAGTACATAGCTTGAAGTGTCTTTTAGTTCAGTTAAAACACGGACTATTTACAATTTAAAAAAAAAAATCCATTACTTGACTTTAGAAATACTTGTCCACTTTGATTTTAAAAGTGTGGGGTTTTGGGTATTTTTCAGTACTGTATTTGGTATTTTATATGCACTGAAACACACACACTTCCAATTTAGTTAATTGAAGCAATAATATCTAGAATTTGTGATACAAACTACTGAAGAGGCTAGCCCAGTGACTTACGGCTGGTCTACGCTAACACTATAAGTCAATCTAAGTTACGTTACTTCAGACGTAACTTAGGTCGATTTACAGCAGTGTTTACACCGTGCTATTGTTGACGGGAGACGCTTTCCCGTTGACATAGCTTCCACCTTTCGGGGAGGTGGAGTACAGATGTCAATAGGACAGCACTGTCCCATGGACTTAGCGTGTCTTCACCAGACTCACTAAATCAATACCGCTGCATTGATCGCAGCAATGCTGATTTAGCCAGTAGTATAGACATGGTCGTAGTATGTAGCAGATAGAAGACCAAGTTTTGAGAGCAACCTCAAGAATCTTGCTCTTTTGGCCTAGTTGTGTTTGGCAACACTACCAAGATGACAATCTGCAAAGGTGCAGGAGGTTGCTGTGTGAATCACACACCATACAGCAATTGCTTACTGAATGGTGTCAGTCTCAGAGGTTGTCTGACAACAGCTTCAGGATGAAGACAGCAAGTACAGGAGTAGGGAAAACAGGCCACAATGAAATAAAACTGTAAAAATCATTATTCCCTTCACACGAAATATCCAGAGTCAATGCTTTGTGAATGTGAAGGCCTCTGGCATTTGCTCTTGCTGTTGTCAATGCAGCAAGGGTAAACTGACACAATGATGTTTACAGCTCCTCTGCTAGGGTTAAACAAAAAATTCATCATATTTCTACTCCATTAGTTATGAAGGAAAAATATCAACACAATTTTCTTGCTCAGTGATTTATCCACTGGGGCATTCATGAAGATACAAGTAACAGTGCATAGATATTACAAAATTAAACCCCTATTACTTTACTTCTTGAAAAGTGATGTTGCTCTGCAAATTATTCAAATGACATCTGAAAAGAAGTTGCATATAAACCCTATGTAAAAGTTGATATACATGATTACCATAAAAACAAACAATTCTACAACATAAGTTATCAATAGAACAAGTTTATAATATAATACACACTTTTTGCAAAAAACTATAGCAACAGCTAAAAATAATATGTTTTAAATACTTGTGCATTTAAGTAGACTGTTATAACTCATAATGTTTCAAAATGCTCCAGAGTACACTGCCTTACAGATGACCATGGGTCTCTGTATTTATTAAACTGAATCATCTGACAATGAAACTCAGTTAAGGCTCTTGGCATTGGTGTGACTTCTTCCCATTCAGACCTGTTGCTATGGTAGACTTGTACTTCATCTGTAATTTCATCTGGAGCATAGTCACCACCTAGTATGTAAATTTTATCTTCTATTCCAACTGCTCCTGCATTAAAGCCAGCACATTCAAAAGATCCTTCCCCTTTCCAAACACAAGTTTCTGGACAAAAACTATAAACCTTGTAGGTGGAAAGGTCACATATATACAATGTGCAGTTCACTGGAACAGCTTTGATTAAAGTTGCATGAAAAAACTGCCCAAACTCTGCTACAAGCTCAGACCATTGATCAGTCATAGCATTGTACTTAAAGAAACAATCCAGAGATGGATTAAAGGCATCAGTAATCTCTACTTCAGCACCAAGGACATAAATTATATTTTGACATGCACTTGCTTCTGGATAGTATATGCCTCTTGGTAACGGGCTTACAGATTTCCATTCTTTGGAGAGAGGATTGTAAGATTCCACATCCAAAAGACTTCTGATGTCCTGAGCTCCTTTAGTCTTTCCACCTATTATAAATAACTGATTTAGAGTCACGACAGATGTGTGCATAGTCCTTGGTTTTTTCATAGTTGACACTATGGAGAAATCATTGCTGACTGGGCAGTAGCACCAAGTCTGATCAGTGGCATCATGAAAGGGTTCAACAATATGAAGTCTAACAGTCCTACAGCAGTTCCCTTTGCACCCACCAGTTATAAATATTTTTTCTCCATAACTAGATAAACTTGACCCTGGCAGATCAATGATGTGTGTGTGGGGCAGTTCTCTCCATTTATCAGTTTTGATATTATAGCAAAATGTGTGTCTGTTTTCCCCATTTTCTTCAGTCTTGTGAACAAATATATATTTTTCTGTTGTTGAAGGACGAGCATCTGGAAATAGTCCACTGGAGTTTTGTACACTTTTAATTGCATCATTGATTATTCCTAAGCAGTCAGTGCTCTGAAGCAAATATTCTTCAGAATGCAACAAGTCCTTCAGTGTCTTTTCAGATAACTGATGTAATCTCACTTTTTTAATCAAGTGATGGAGATGCTTCTGTCTTGTTTCTAAATTATGTTTGGTCCACAGCAGGACAGCTTTCAACACAGATTCTTCCTCAGGGACATATAGCTCATCTGCTTCAATACATTTTTGTAATATCTCAAAATTCATCTCCAAGAAATCACTAGATTTGAGTAGCAAGGAAAAGCAGTGCTGTGCAAACTCTAGTGCATGATCAAACAAATGAACAGAACCATAACTTTCTGATATAGACAACAATTGTAAACAGTTCCCAAGATCAACACTTTCTATTAGAAATTCACTGCAAGCTTTGGAGAGGTGTGAAACTTGAAGAAATGATGACAACTGGAAGAACATTTCCACATTATCATTTGTTATCTCAGTTTTTCCTGTATAGGCATAATCGAGAAAAGCCTTCACTGCCTTGGGTGATAAATTACTAATAGTAACATTCCCATCATCTCTTTCTTTCATGTTAACCTCAAACATGGCTCTGCAAGTAAAATATAGGAGACATATACACAAATTAAATAACATTATAGATCTAGCAAACAGAAGACAAGAAAACACTATACTGAGAGGGAGAAAAATAATCTAGATCAGTGGTTCTCAACCCGGGGTACACATACCCCTGGGGGTACGCAGAGGTCTTCCGGGGGTACATCAACTCATGTAGATATTTGCCTGGTTTTACAACAGGCTACATAGAAAAGCACTAGTGAAGTCAGTACAAACTAAATTTCATACAATGACATGTTTATACCGCTCTATCTACTATACATTGACATGTAAGTACAATGTTTCTATTCCAATTTATTTATTTTATAATTATATAGTAAAAATGAGAAAGAAGCAATTTCAGTAATAGTGTGCTGTGACACTTTTATATTTTTGTCTGATTAAGTAAGCAAGTAGTTTTTAAGTCAGGTGAAACTTGGGGGTGCACAAGACAAATCAGATTCCTGAAAGGGATACAGTAGTTTGGAAAGGTTGAGAGCCACTGATCTAGATGGTGTAATAAAATAATACAGGAGATAAGCTGAGTGGGGCTAAAATATGAAGGGCCTCAAAGGTCAAGACAAGAAGCATATGTTAGATATGGTGGAAAAGGAGGAGCCAATGGAGGAACAGAGAAGGGTGACCTGATCAAAGGGATTGGCCAGGAAAATGATCTTGGTAGCAATATTTTTAATAGATTTATGGTGGGGGAGGGAAAAGACTGCAGCTGTCAAAGCCAGAGAGGAGGAGGAAGTTGTCATGGCCAAGACATGAGATGGTAAGAACCAAGATGAGTTTTGACAGTGCGGACAGAGAGGAAAGGATCAATAGTTTAAATATTATGTTGGAAGAAGCAGGATTCAGGCAAAGCCTTGATGGTGGGTTGAAAGAGAGGGCTAATATCCAGGTTACAGGCCTGAGCAACTGGGCAGACAGTGGTGTTCTCCATAGTTATAACAAGGGGTTGGGGATGGTGGAAAAAATCAGGAGCTTAGCTGTGGCCTTGTGGAATTTAAGTTGACATCCACAAAGAGATGGCAGAAAACGAGGTTGAGATGCAGGATTGGATGGAGGGAATTAAACCTGATAGCAGAACGGTAGATTTTGAGTCAGTGTAAAGATGGTAGTTAAAGCCATGAGCAGATATCACCAGTCAATAGGGTATAGGAGAGAAAAAATGAAGGGACTAAGGGCAGAGCCTTGTGGAACCTCTCCTCTCATCTGATCCCATGATACATTATCCTAAATGATTTAAATGTAAAATGTCACTGCGACAGATGGGGCTGTTCCAGAACCCACACACTGATATACCCAGGAGTAAATACAATCCCAAAATAAAGCCCTTCTCTTCTGGGATACAAGCACACTCCCATGGTAAATGTTCTTACGCTGAGTTTCTTATTGACAGTCTCCTTCTGTAATAAGAACACCCTTTCCCCCATTCTGGTCCCTGACTTCTTTGTGACTGGTTTATAAACCAACTGTGTCTGGTTGTCTGACAGTCCCAGAATCTAAGCAACTTCCTGCGTAGCCCCTATATTCTGCCAAACAATGGAGAGGGAGAGATTTTTTAATATGATTCTTGTGTGGTCCCAGTGTCCTGTGTCCCCTAGAGAGGGAAGTTAGTATGGACCCAGTCACATTTATCTCATAATAAGATCACAGCTCCTGCACTGAACCCTTCATACACGCACACTTATTGTCACCAAGAGCATGTCTACACAGTAAGCCTCCCAGCCTGGGTCAACAGATTTGGACTCATGGGGCTTGTGCTACCATGGTCAAAATATCTGTGTAGACAGTGCTTTAAAGTCGCATCTGGAGCTCAGAAGCCTATACTCTTCCCTAGGCTTCAGAGCCCAAGTCGCAACATTTATGCAGCTATTTTTAGTGAAGTAGCATGAGCCTGAGTCCAACAGCTGAATTTGGCTCATGGTATTCTGCAATATTTAAAAATGACATTCTTCAAATTGTACTGTAACTTGTTTTGATTATATTTGGATTACTCAATACATACTAGCTAGCATGGATTAGTGAGATGCTAAGGTGGGGAGCCTAGGATCAGTGAAGTTTGCATACTAATAACTGCTGGTGAAAAGACAATGCTGGTGACATCATACCCCCTGTAAACCAACAAAGAACCATAGAAATGTAGAGCAGGAACATATCTCAAGAGTCATCTAGTTCAGAGATTCTCAAACTGGGGGGCAGGCCCCTCTGGGGGGGAGGCGTGAGAAGCTTTAGGGGGAAAAAAACTTACTGAGCACATTTTACCCACAGCAACGAATAACTAGCAGAGCTGATTGCTCCAGACATATCAGACCCTCAGATGGCGCTGTGCATTTGACTCTAGATGACGCTGTGCATTTTGATGGAGATCTTTTAAGCTTGCATAGCATTATACAAAGTCATTGCCATCTGTATGTTAATCCATTTGCCATGACATGATGTGCACATTTCATTGTAAGCAGCGACCACAGTTGCAGTTTTGCTCTTTTTACAATGGATCATTGGCTCTGTTTGAATCAATACCTTACTGTTTTTAATATTTAGAGAGAGTTGCATGTTGATTTTTTTGTATTGGTATATGTACTTGTGTGGTGGGAAGGTGTGTGTGTAAACTACTACAGACACAAAGAAGGGAGGTGTGAGCAAATAAGCATGAGAACCACTGATCTAGTCTATTCATCTTTGCTGAGGCAGAACCAAATATACCTAGACCATCCCCGACACGTTTGTCTAGCATGTTCTTAAAAATTTCCAATGAGGGGGATTCCACAACCTCCCATGATAACCTGTTCCAGTGCTTAATTATCCTTATAGTCAGAAAGATTTTCCTAATATCTAACCCTAATCTCCCTTGCCGCAGATTAAACTGATAACATTGTCCTACCTTTAATGGACATGGAGAACAGTATAAACAAGTCATTGTCTATATGAAATTTTAGTTTGTACTGACTTCACTAGTGCTTTTTTATGTAGCCTATTGTAAAACTAGGCAAATAACTAGATGAGTTGATGTACCCCATGGAAGACCTCTGCATACCCAGCCTGCAGACCTCTGCGTACCCAGCATGCAGAGCTGCCTGGCCATGCCTCTGCCTAGCAGCTAAGCGTGGGGAATGTTGCTGCTTCCGGGGAGCCAACCAGGTAAGCACCGCCCAGAGCCTGCCTCACCCTGTCCCATGCCTCAACTTCCTGCCCCCTCCCACACCCAAACTCTGCTGTTGAGGGCGTGGGGTGGCGTGCGGGGGCCTGAGACTGCCCCAGCAACGGCTAAACCGACTGGCGCAGGGGCTGCCTGAGCTGCCCCTGAGCCAGGTGCACCGGCCGCTGCAGAAGTCACAGAAGTCATGGAAAGTCATGGAATCCGGGACTTTTGTGACCTCCATGAAACTCACAATCTTTCTTATCACCCTATTATCTCCTAGGTGCTTACAAACGGCTTAATAATTTGTTCCAGTATCTTTCCAGCAACTGAAGTTAGTCTGACTGGTATGCAATTCCCCAGGTCTTCTTTTCCCCCTTTTTAAAGATAGGTACTATGTTTGCCCTGCTCCAGTCCTCTGGGACTCACCCATCCTTGAAGAAAATCACTAATGGTCCTGAGATTGCTTCAGCTAGTTCCTTAAATACCCTAGGTGAATGTCATCAGGCCCAGCCAACTTGAATACATATAGCTTATCTAAATATTTTTTAACTTATTCTTTCCCTATTTTGGCTTGTGTTCTTTCTCCCTTGATGTTAATATTAATTGTGTTAAGCATTTGGTCAATATTAACCTTTTTAGTGATGACTGAAGCAAAATAGCATTAAACACCTCAGTTTGTGCTGTCCATTATTAGCTCTCCTTCCCACTAAGTAGTGGATCTACACTTTGCCATGTCAACCGCCTGCCCCACCTAGGTTCTAAATGAAACCATGAAAAACTAAGATATTTAGTGTTGCTCCTTTCTATCCAGGTCTACAATACAAACTTACATCAGTATAACAATGTTGCTCAGGGGTGTGAAAAATCCACACCCCCTAAGCAACGCAGTTAAACCAACCTAACCCCTGATGTAGACAGTGCTCTATGGATGGGAGAGTTTCTCTTGTCCCCATAGCTAGTGCCTCTTGTGGACATGGATTAATTACACTGATGAGAGAAGCTCTCCCATTGGCACAGTAGCATCTTCACTGAAGTGTTGCAGCATTTTAAGTGTAAAACTGCCCAGAGGCTTCTACTGCTGAGAGGCGGTAGGATAGTTTCAGGCAGTCACTGCTCCTGTAAGCAACTCAGCTGTAGGAGTGAAGAGGATCCAACTGGTGGAGAGAATAGAAAGAAACATCCCCTCTCTTATCACTCTTCCCTTCTTCAACAGTAGTTCTTGAGAAACATTACTTCCTTTGTGCAGAATTCAGGATAGCTGAGGGAAAGAAAAATATCTTGAACATCAGCCTTATTTTTGATGAAGGGGAAGAATGACCCATAGCTCCTTCAGCTTCTCATTCTCTCCCCATCTTTGCTTATTCCCATCACTAGCTTGAATGTAGAGAAGTGCAGGGGTAGCTATCTTAAGAACTGCTGCAGAAAGAGGCAGGAAGTAGGGTTACGGAGGCAGCCTTTCTAAAGGTCTCCTGCTACACTTAAACAACAAGGAGTCTGGTGGCACCTTAAAGACTAACAGATTTATTTGGGCATAAGCTTTCATGGGTAAAAACCTCACTTTGATGCATCTGAAGAAGTGAGGTTTTTACCCACAAAAGCTTATGCCCAAATAAATCTGTTGGTCTTTAAGGTGCCACCAGACTCCTTGTTTTTGTAGATACAGACTAACACGGCTACCCCCTGATACTTGCTACACTTAGTGTGACCAGCCAGTTCCTCTTCAATCTTGTAGGAGCTGGAATGAGAATTTGTTTTCAGTT